AAAGTCAAATTAAATTTTTATGAGCATTTGAAGTTTATATTTTGTATCTTGTATTGTAATTACATGATTAACATGATTTTGGTATAATAAAACAATGAATCTCAAGTAATGTGTTGTGTATTATAATTTTGGCAAACGTAGAATGTATAATTAATATTAATAAGCTTTTATAATTCCTGGAAACTTGTGGGGGGGTTAAGCGGTCATAAGGCCCATGGACTATGGAGACCCCGTGCTCGACTGCTCGTGCATCGCACATGCGTAAATTATTGCAGCTGGCTGTATGCCAAATCTACCCCCTATCAATCCCTGTAATAATCATTGATTAATAATAATAGGTACAGTAGCTAATTACACGCTATCGTGCACTGTCATATTTTGTTCAACATCGCTCGAACAGTTTTGTTAGTACATAAATATAGGGTCGGCGGTCGATRTATAGGACTTGTGCAGTGTGTACATCCCCAAAATTGGTGATACCTTATTATTATTTTATTATTATTGAAAAACTATTATATTATATACGATGGTGACAATAAAAGACGACGTCCTAGAAACCGTCCGACTACCCACTACTGACCTTTTCAGTTTTCACCATTATATAGTACACACTACAGTGAGCATTCTCCGGACCGTGAACGAGACGACTCGACCCGGCCGACCCTCTCTGGTTCTTTTTATTTCTCGGCGAACTCGGCGGCGGGTGGTTTCACCCTCCTCCCCAACCACTTCTTCTACCAATTACCTGCACGTCGCCGAGTACCGGGAAATGATCCCCGTCACGACCCTTCAAGCTCAACGCTGTCAGCCATTATTCAATTATTCTTGTTCGGAGATCCGTGCGCGGCGTGCATGAGATCGACTGAATAGTGAATATAGGTAGCGATTATACCGGCGCAGTTGTCACTTGCCAGTTGCCAGAAACAGAACACTTCTGTAGTGTTCGGCGGTTTTGGTTGTCGTCGCTGTCAAGTAAATTATTGCAAAAAAAGTACCTAGGTATCATCAGCTATTATTAACTATACTACTTCCGATTATCTACTTATGGACTTTCAGTTTACGAATTCATTGATCTGGGCGATTATTACAGGTAAGATATTGTTGGTTACCGACTAGATAATATGTTCACCATATACACATAATATATATATACCCGCCGGTGACTGTGGCCTTTTTGTTTGTTTTATTATGGAGACCGTTAAAGCGTGTAATATACATATGCTGTTTATCAATTAGTGCTAACCTTTTGTCGTCCTCTGCAGGTTATACATAAACATATTATGTACTTTCGAACTGGCTAATGAGTATATCTACCTTTATGATGTCTGTTATGATGCGAGGTATGGACAATGCGGTGTTATTTATTCGCCTTGTCCACGTGATATTCCTGCTGAAATCGATTTCTGGCGCACGTTCGGAGGAGCAGTCATGGCACAAACTTTAGACAATATATTAGCTGTGTTCCGGTTGAAGGGCTGCGGAACCAACGAGGATTGAGGGTTCATATTTTCACTGAAGAAGAACTCGAAGACGAGAGGAAAATACGAAACGTTATCGATGTCTAAGCGGCACTTTAATGTAA